CATCATCATAGCTACATGCGGCTGTCTTCTTGTTTGATGGCAGATACTCCCTTCACCCTGGCCAAAAAGGCTAAAATGACCAAAGAAAAAGAGGGAAACGGCTAAACATGAGAGGTTTTTGGATAAAGTTTGTGGTTTTTCCATTGTTTAAGCACTGCTTCCAGCCAAGAGTGATACCATATATGCCCCATAGCTGCAGAAAAGGCTAACATTTTTATCTTTTTACAAAAACCAGCTGAACATGAGAGGTTTTTGGACCAATTTTGTGTTCTCCATTCTTTAAGCACCGGTTTGAGCACCGTTTGAGCAGCGGCACCGTTTCAAAAGTACCGATTTGGCACCGGTATTGGATAAAACCTAAACGATACCCATCCCTATATGTCAGCAACAAAAGGTCGAGCAAAAAAAGAAGGAAACTCAGGCAAAGTCACAAGGGGCGGAAATCTTTGACGATGATGCAGCGCTGCAGTGATGTGGCAGGGAAACTTTAAAACCAATACACTTTTAATTCTGCAGGTTTTCCAGAGAGGAAGATAATGGCAAGATTGATGGGAGAGATCCCCACAGCAGGAAATCTGATGTGGTGTCACATCACATTACTGTTTTTCTTCAAACTGACTACATACAAGTTATCTGCCATTCAATAATACTTTGCTTACGTGTAGCTTTTAGTAAAGTGACAGTATTGTTAGAGTACAAAGTAGGAATCTGATTCCACTACTGTGGTACAACTCATTAGAGCGAAAGAAATGTAAGCCAGGCAGTGTGTCATTCACTCACTTGGGTGCCGTGGAGCCTCGGGGCCATGTGCCATCCTCGCTCTTCTGCTCTATTACGAGAACCTGCGGGAGAAGGCAGAAAGAAAAGAGGGATCCATCTGCTTCCACTACTTTAAACACACCAGACATTTGAAATTCTACTCTGTGTCCAAGTGTTATTGGTTTGCTTTATCTGAATTTATCTTCCCAACAAGTCAAAGATCCCCGATTTGATCTCACACAAATCCCTTTAGCGTCATTCGGAGTGGCTGTAGCTCAGGTGGCAGAGCAGGTCAGCCATTAACCAGAAGGTCAGTGGTTCGATCCCAGGCTGCCTCCTGGCTGCATGCCAAATATCCTTGGGCAAGATATCCCATGTTTGCCTACTGGTGGTGGTCAGAGGGCCCGGTGGCGCCAGTGTCCGGCAGCCTCGCCTCTGTCAGTGCGCCCCAGGGCAGCTGTGGCTACAATGTAGCTGCCATCACCAGTGTGCGAATGTGTATATGACTGAATGTAGTGTGAAGCGCTTTGGGGTCCTTAGGGACTAGAAAAGCACTATACAAATGCAGGCCATTTACCATTTACCATAAAATTCTCCCCAATGGAATACGTGGAGCTACCCCTGTGGTGAATCCTTGTGACAAAGCATTGGCTGAAAGTAGCTATTATATTTTATATGTGACAGCTTTATAATCCATTTGTGGCAGCAGGGTGGAGTACTGGTGTGTAAGGTCATGACTATGCAGAAGAAGGCACACCCATCCTTTAGAAAAAAGTAAAAGATATTGTAGACAAGGTGCCTCTAAATATGTAGAGAAATGTCACCAGGTTTGTCCCACAGACGGACTTCCAACTCTGGCGTCATGACCCAAGTTGTCAACGGAGGTCCTTGTTTTGTTCTGCAGCATTGATGAGTTTACTGTAGCAACAAATAAAGCAGTTCTTCACTTGGTGCAGGTTTTAATTAAAGAGGCTTTCAAAAACAGCAGAACAGTGACTGCTGTTACCAGATTCAATCCAGGACAAGGGGACTGGAGGGCATCTGGCCACCCAGCACACTAGATTCTTCAGAGTGGGCAGAATGGTCCACCACACTGAAGGGACATGGTAGAAAAGACTTGAAGGAATTGACTTGGTAGACAGAGCTTTCAAAATAACTGGTGACATGACTGCAGATAACATCACTCTTATATAAAAACTGTGAAATACTTGAGTCTCCAAGCATACTCTTATTCTACCTGTCCAGCCTCTCCAAGTCCTGCCTATCAGTGGGAAACACTGAATACCATTACTGGGTTAACGTGATTGTAGCAGCAGCAGGTAAGTGGGACAACCCAGTGATGTGGAGCCTGCTGAGTCACTGCAGCCACATGTTTAAATTAATAAATATGTAAAGTCCGCAGTCAGTTTGATGTCAGGTTCTATGCGCGAAAATTCTAGTTCATGAGCCGGCCTCAAACTAGCTTTACTATAAGGTCTTTAAAGTTGAATCTTAATTTCAGGAGTTCAAGTGTTCTAACTACAGGCCTTTTTCTTGCAACAGCTAGAAAAAGGCTAAACAACACAATCTTGTGGTTTTCCATTATCTGCAATAGCTGTTTATTTTAATTTTAGATAGGAGGAGCAGAGACAAAAAGAATGGATGGATCAACAAAAATAACCTCTTGGATGCAGATTCCAAGTAGATCAAGAAAAGACAAGTTTTCTGATATGACCTGAAAAAGTACTCGTATCTGCCAAACAATACGAGGGAAACCATATCCAACGGAAACTAGAACTAAAACATCTTTTCCTGAGCTCAGGAATGACGGTCTATAGAGCAAGCCATATTCTTACACATCTGACAATTTTCTGAAATATCTTGCCTCTCTTGAAAAAAAAGGAACCCTCCAGATCCAAATTCTTCTCACATAGTGAGAATTTGAGAGAAGAGTGGAAAAGTTCAAACCTGTCCTTGGTAGAGGCCGGCATCTTGGATGGTGCTGTCAGGTTTGTTGAGAGGCTCAAAGGTGTTGCTCATGTACCTGTTCCACAGCCTGGTCTCCTTCTCATCTGGGATGCTGAACAGCTTCCTCATTTCCTTCTCAATCATATCTACAAACACATTAGCAAAAAGATGCAGTTAACACTGTGCGGTTTAAAAAATAAAAAATAAAAAAAAAGGCATGACACTCATGTGCACAAACAAAATGTGAAATAAAACAACCATACAAAAAAAACAAAAAAAACAACTCCATCATCTACATCAATAGAATAAAGTAAATATTTACTTGGACACAGTTTTTCAAAAACAACATGAGCAGAGTGTTAAGTTCATGTGTTTGAATGCACGCAGGAGGTGATTCTAATATCTGAAATCCCAAGGGTATATTTAGATCTATGTTGTATATCATTTGTGCTTCCAAGAATGTTTTCCTGGCTCAGAATGAGAATTAGTGGGGTGACCATGCACATAAACACAAGTCTGTATTTCTAATCTTCGCACTTTACTGTTATCTAACTCAATAAACAAAAATGTCAATCACGCTTGAGTAAATAATTTTGAAAACACGTAAAATTTATTCCATTTCCATTTTATTTTCTTTAGCACAGCCTGCTGAATTATAAACAACAACAGAAACAAAACAACGGTTTTTACTTCATGTTTCAATGCAAGGATACAATAGCTAGTATCCATACACTGGCAAACAATATGGCATTTACTAGCGTGTATCTGTTGTGTCACAACTGCATAATACTTACAAAAAACAAACAACAAAACAAAAACAAAACAAAAAAACACTTAGTTTTATGTACAAGATTTCTTTGTTTCCGCTGCAGCAAAAAGGGGAAATAAATCATCATGTGGCAACAATAGTTGGAAAAACAATTAATTTAAACACAAATACCACAAACAGTAAATGTATTTATATATAATTAGTGTGAAATGTGAACTGAGATCCAAGGAACTCTGGAACTCTGCGGAAACCAGTGCTTACTACTGCTTAGGCAGTGCCTACCTATTGTGTCAGCTTTACTGAAGCGTTTGGTGATCACATTGTCCATATTGCTGTCTTCACAGAGCTTCAGCTCGGTCAGGTACACTTCTACCTTGCAGTGCTTCACAAACATACCCTGTTCAACCACCTGCAAAAAGAGGATGATTATCAATTTACTGCTTTAAACCATGATTATCTAATGTTAAATTACTACGCAAAGAATGAGGGACACGGGCCTAATTCATGAGTAACCCTGTATGGTTTTGGGCTGTCCCACACAAAAAGATCAATGTAAAAGAACCGTGTAGATAACTCAGAAATGATTGCCTTAGAGAAGTCTAACGTTTGCACTTACAACGGAACATAAAATTTAACTGTGTAAAAATCTCACAATCTGACCGTCCACTAATCAGCCAACAGGAATGTAGCACTACATTACACCACAGACAACAGTAACAAGTCAGGCTGAACAGACAGAAGTAAAACATGAAAAACTAAATGTTTAAGATTCCAACATAGATGCAAGTTTGGCTGAGTCATGCCAGCCGAAGCCTTTGACTGTATGATGTTTGTCCAATTGTTATCATGCCTGAGCTTACCTTTGACAGAAGTTTAGGCACCCAAAAAGAAACCGTGACACCAAGCTGGCAAAAATAATCATGATGCAACCCTTAACTCATGTTTATCAAATTCCTGCTAGACTGTAAGCAAACTCCTAAGTTTAACGTGCTAGAAAATGCTTAACAAAATGGATAACAAAGCACACCAAGTTCTGCTGCGCTGGTCTCTACTCATCTGGAGTCCTGATACTTCACAGTCAGAGTGAAGTGCCTAAATTAGCAGCACCTCGTGGAAACAGCTGAGGGGTCCCAGCCTATTTATTTCACCCCTGAGCCCCTCCAGCACTCAGACACTCACGCTCCTAAACTGCAAAAGTCCTTCACACACAGCTTAGACTCTCTCAGCACCACAACCCTCCCCTACTCAAGGCTCTCGGTGGGCTAGTACACCTCAGCGCACAACCCATCTGTGAGCTCAGTCAACGTCCAACTCACCACCAAGCTCTGACACATTTTCTCAAATCAAAGCCGAGCCAAAACCATTTAGGCCACCCACGCCGCTTCTCCTATACTGGTTCGCCTCTCCTCGCACTCCTTTGAAAAGCTTACGCGCTGCTTCTCTTAGTGTGACCTCAGCTGGCATTCCTCCGCTTGGAAAACAAGGACGCAGGAGCTCTCCACCATTGTTGGCAATCAAACCACAAGTGGAAAGCGGAAGGAGCCACAGTGTCACACCAATGACTACAGTCCTACAGTCCCCCCCCCACATACCCGCACCCTCAAGTTGACAATCTAGAAACAACAGGGTAAAAAGAAGAAGAAAACCTCCTTCATGTTGTGTCTCGCAGATCGCTCCATGTAGCTTTTCAGTCATCCAGAACGTTGCCTGAAAATAGAAACCTTGCAGCTACCCGATACGCCACATGACATACATGGCAAAAGAGGAGGGTCAATGTAGAGGGGGGGGGGGGGGGACAAAAGACAGACTGATAGATATGGAGAGGGAAGAGGAAGTGCTTCCAGCAGCCATGATGCCATGACTAGCGAGATTTGAAGAGTTGCTTTGATAGCAAAAGTGCCATCACACACAAGTATTCAACTGTAATCACAAACATATAAGCATTCTTCATTTTTTTACTCCAGCAAACCTTACATACTCTTATGCTAATATGGAAAAAATAAGCACACATACTGCGTTTCATTCATAAAAGAAATGAATGAAAGGCAACTGGGTTTTTTTCTTTGTGATAAGTAAACACCCAGTTTTTCACTATTAGTTCTGAGATTCTGTGTAGAGTACACAGAGTAAATCTGTGTAAATCTACCTGACCAACCAAATTACATCAAAAATGAATGTAATGGTTAACTATTCTTTGCAGTTCTTTTTGTTAAATATCTGTCATCATAGTCTTTTACTATTCACTGTTCAGCAACAGTGACACAAGTTCAAAGTTCCTTTTCCAAAAGTGCTGCATGTCTGATTTTCCCAAACAGCCTTATTAGCACAATGTTCTCCCTTTTACCCCAACACAAGTCACACTGCACATTAAACCTTCTGATTCTGTATATGAGAAAACAATCTGAGCTGGCAGCAGAACAAATGTTTAAAAATCCATTCATAATCTTATGCTAATAACTGAACCCTTACCTTGCGAGCGATTGGCTCCTGACCCTCTGTGAGTCCATACCAGCTGACGAGTTTATTCCAGCCTTCTGTTGGGACCAGAATGTAGTCAAGCTCATCAATGAGGTGTTCCTTGATGGCGAGCACATCCCCATCTAGAGGGAGGGAGGGTCATACACGTGCAGTTAAACAAGAGAGGGTAAAAAGCACATTCTGTGGGTCAACACTTACACTATTGATAACACACAAAGAGCAAGGTGAGCTGGAGAGTTTTCTATGTCCCCCCTCCAAAGAAAGGCTACTCTCTGGTTAGTAGACAATGTTTTTGTGTGCGTGTATGTCACTTGCCCACGAAGCTAACCTACCAAAAACTGCTTTCCCATACATTTATCATATACTTTTAGAAGGGATAAAATAGATATATAAAGAGATGGACTATTACTTGACTTACCTTTGAGAAGACCAGAGTTATCAACCGGTCCTGGGTAGACATTCTGGTCTCCCATCTGGTATTTGTCCCAGCTGTCAAATCCCACATATTTCTTCCACTGTTTGAACCAGTGACTGTCCACTAGGTACCTGCAGAGAAAGCAATCAAGATTACAACATCTCTACTAAAAGCAAGATGTGAAAGTCAAGAGTTATATAAAAGGGATGGTGGGGTGTATTAAACTATTGGGCTATAAACCAGGTTACCTTGGGGCTACCTTGTAGTGAGTACCCGAAACAAATCTGGTTTTGGGAGGCATACATTACACAGACTGACAGTTGTAACAGTAGCTTTTAGCCGCCGTCTTGAGTTCAGATTGCTACAAGCCTAGCCAGCTGGCTCTGTGATTTTGACAGGTGTTTTTTTTCCGACTCCGCCCTGCTGAAGTCGGGGGATGAACCCACTGACAGGCAAACCGCTTGGATCATCGGCAAGCTAACCAATTAGCTGATAGCCTGATAACTATCTGTATCACTCAAACGGCATGTAGCCTACCTTACACATCCACAGAAAATATGTGACACAGTTTTTTGGAAGTGAAGGGTATAAACACCAAAATACAGCATATAAATTTAGTTTAACTGTTTTAAGTCTTAGCGAGAGCTCAACCAGCGCTAGCCTGCCAAGCTGACACATGAAGCTGACAGGCAGCCGTTAGCTAGCTCGGCGCTCACTGTCAACACGGCCCGGCCGTTTTGCTTTCACATCCTCCGTGGGGTTGACAGGCTCAGCAGACCCAGCCCAGAGCCACGCAGTGCCCTTGAAAAGATCACAGTCAATTCTTACCAAGTGTCTCCCTTTCTTAGTTGTGTTTTCAACAGTGTCGCGACCTCTCCTCTTTGGGTATCCAGATCAGCCGCTCCTCCTTCCGCCATCTTTCCTTAGACATTCCCCGGTGCATGGTGGGAAAAAAAGCGGCGCGTCATAGAGGCACGTAGAGAGCGACGCCGCTGCTGCAGCCAATCATCACAGTGGCAGCGTGACACCCAGTGGCAAAATTATTCTAGAAAATGTTTCAAAAGTGCTCCATCATTGTGGATGCACGGGCTTACAGCTGAGAAAGAAACTGTGCCTTTCAAAATAAAGATGAGGGGAAACAATGCAAGTGACACTTTTTAACACTCCGTGAACACTGTAGAAGAGAAAATCACCAAAGAGGCCAATATAAAGAATCTGAAAGTTGAACCATTTATAATATTGCAATTTTGGGAAAAGTACTGTGAAAGCAGAGTTTTATAAACTGCCAGTTACCTCACACTATAACATATCATACACCCGGAAAAGGAAAACAATTAACAAGTGAATGAAGTTCCTGAAGAAAATGTGGTCTGAATGCTGAAAGCTCAGTGATTTGAGTTTTCAAAGCTGGAAAGTAGTTGAATATCTTTAAAATGTACATTAGGAAAGCTGACAAATGACAAAAGAAAAATCTGAATGAATATTGAAAGCTCATATTCTTTAAATCACTTGAAGATTGAAGAAATGAGTAATCATCACTGGCTGCTATGAACAGTTTCACCTTCAGCAAAAGACTGACTGAGCCAAAGTGGAAGTCTCAGTACCTCAGGGGGTCCTTTATACTAGCGGCTATAAGACTGTTCAATGTACAATAATAAAAATAATATTATTGTATCCACATGTTTGCATATTTGCACATAGCCATTTTATTTGTTTATATATTTTTCATTTTATTATGAATTGATATGGTTTTGCTGGGCTGTGCCATGTTATGTCTGTGCTAAACTGCCATAGCAATAATTTCCTGCAAAGGACTATAAAATAAAATATCTCTGGAGCTATCGTTCAATCTACAAACCTACTCCTGCAATAGCTACTCGGGTACCTTGATAACACACTCAACATTGTGACACAGTGGTGCTCATGTTCACTGAGACTGGGATTTCTACACGACTGCAAGTCAAATACTTCCACTGTAATAGAAGATTATGAACTTCTGAAATTTTACTTTTGCCAAATAATGCTCATATAATAATAATAAAAACTAAGACAGAGACCAGTCAATATTAATAAACCAATAACAATATATATATATATTTTAAACTAACTGTAAACAGTAATCCAACTCTGGAAAGTAACTGAAACTATACAGGTACCTTTAATAAAATACTTTATACAAGCTAAGCTCTTGCAAAGTCCACAGATGTTATACTTTATCACTTTACAGAACATGACTGTATGAAAAAACCCAAAACATATCAGTAAAATCCTGATGTGATTTGTTAGTGATTTGTTCTCCATTTTCATAAAATTGGAGACTTTTGATAGTTATGGACTTTTTCTCCTTTTTTAAAGTTACATTTGTAGCAGCGGGGGCATGTTCAAAAGACACAGGAAGCCCAGATGCTCCAGCACTTGAAAGCTGCATGCATTTGTGGATTTGTAAAAAGTTAAAGTTGAAGACTCTCAAAACCCAACATGCACATGTGACATGTCCCTTTGTATCAGCCAAATGTATTCATTTGTATTTATTCATTTTCTAATATAAAGATTGTACACAAGTGTTTGGATTGGAATGTACCTTTGATGTTACTCAACTCATAACCATCAAGTTTTGTTAAACCAGACAACAGACACTGAAAACTTATTATATAGCATAATTGAAAATAGCGTAATTTTCAAAATGAACTACGTGTTGTATTCAGCAGTGCTTCCTCTTGCTAGCTATGAAAACCAGTGTAGCTGTAAGGCACTTTTACAGTGGCTTCACTTTTTCAGCTGTAACTACATCCTACGTTTACATACAGTCTGTGGTTCAAACCTGACAAAGTGGTGTTTTGCTGCAGGTTCCAACTTGAACAACATGCTTTAGAGAAATGAACCAAGCAAGCATTTAAGTGAGCTTTGAAGTAGGAGTTTGCTCTCCTTTAGTGCAATTGTCACAAGTGTCCACCTACAAGCACCAACCTGTTTTAAATCCAGTTGTATTACAAGCCAGTGTACACAAGGAATGAGGTACCATAGGTGTAAGCCTGAGTAACATAATAGTGTGTTTAATCCACCAGAGTTTCCATTTAAATAGCAGGTAAACACAGGCGTTACTGATCACATTAGTTAAAGGTCTGTGCCTAAGCAGAAAAGAACAATGGCTGCTGTGAAAAAGGCTCTATGCGACCCCCCCTTCCCTTTAAAGCTGCCATGCTTAACATCCAAGTCCCCGAATTTGGATTATTTTTTCAGACTTAGGAAGTTCCCCCTTTGGAGAGCAAAGGCAAAATGGTTCAGGACAACATACATAGATTTTTTAATCCGTACTTACAACAGTAACGTTTCTTTGTACAGTCATTATGCGTTACAGTACAAAAAATGAAACTACAGTTTATATGCCATATTAGTCCATATCAGTATTCTGCATTTCCATGTATTTATTCTGCATCCTATTATGTCTACTGTTAAGCATAATCTAATTTTCCCTAAATACAAAAGGAAAACCTCTGCAGTTATTTATCACAACATAACAATATGATACAAATATGACAAAACAGCCATGCAGTGTTGTCAGATACATAAAGGAGCATTAAGAAGTTGCTCTCTAAGTGTTAGGTGTGAACATCCAATGATTCACCTGTTCCTCCCGTGACTTTGCTTTTCTTGGGTTACTTATAAACTTTACCGATGGATTCACAGACTCAAGAACAAGTTTGTCTAAATTACTTTTGTCCCTGAAAAACGCTCCTTTCCACTCTGAAAATTCTTAATTCAAATGTCAGGATACTTTTTTAATTTCTTCTGCCTCAATTTATCACTCAAAAATCGTCAACCCACTACTTTCGCCTGAGTCCACCGTGTATGTTATGTATTAAAGTAAGTGGATCCCACAGACCACTGAAGCCTCACAAGTTGGAGTCCGCCTCAGAGACGGGGAAGTAGCCATTTGTAGTCTTGGTGGTGTCTACCTCTGGAGCAAAGATAGCCAGTAACCTCTCCTGCTCCCTCTTGGTTTTAGGTAAGTCGTCAGATGGTCTGATGAGCAACTGGATGCGCTGTGAACGAGCAAACAAAGATTAAAAACAGGAGCATGTCAGTTGGGCACAAATGTTTTCCTCTGACAGGATGATTAGCGTACCTCTCTGAGTGTCCCCTGGGTGGTGCTGATCTTATACACCATCCAAAGTGGAATGCAGACCATGGAAGAGAGAGCAAGCAGCCAGCCGATCACATATCCCCACCACGGGTACACATACTCATTGTTGTACTTCAGAGGAGTGTATTTAATGAGGGAGAATGCAAAGGTGCCCTGCAGAGACAAGGTAACAGGGTACGGCAACTAGTGAGGATCAACCTACTTTATTTCCTTTTTTTTTTCACTAATAGAACATTTATTGTCATTTTTGGAAGTTTATCTACTTTACTGAGACTCACAATGCACGTGGCAGGGGAGAAGAACAACCAACAGCACTTGATATACGGTCCTGGCCGGTAACCAATCATATCCTCAATGTTATCATAAAAGCGATCAGCGCCTGGAAAAACACGATTTAGACACATCTCATCGTGACACAGTGTAAAACTCCCAGCTGGGTTTCTGCCAGTAACTTGGGTGAACACTCAGAATTACTCGTCAAAGCTTGTGCTGTAATCTTACATGCAGTTCTGTTTGCTTACCGTAAACCCACGCAATGCAAACTGTCTCAAAGATGGACATGAAGAGAAGACACATGCCGCTGGCTGCATAGTAATCAAAGAGCTGAAAGACATACATGCCCCCCTAAACAGATACAAACCAAAGAGGTATAATCATACAAATATAGCTTACAGTTACAGTTTTAGACAGTTTTTTCTACTCTTGGCTCCGTATGATGTCACTGAAAGGAGATATCCCTAATATGGTAATCTTAGACACATAGCTTTTGCTGCACACACCTGCAGAACCCCTTTGTTTTTGTCTTTTTACAAGGGGCAGCCAATCAGAAGAAAGCTGGTTTAAAGGGTTTAAGGTTAGGATGGCTTATTGCAAAACTATTCTAATAAAATCCAAAAATAAAAACAGAGACCTGGAAATGAGCATAATAGGTCTCCTTTATCTAAAAATGAATGGTAGCTTGAAAACTGTACAGTAAAATACTGTTATATAGTATGGTGCTGTTATTATACAAAGACCCTGAAACCTTGAAGCCCAAAAGTTGACTATTTCAGCCCTCATCCTAAAATTGGGAGCATTGCATAACAATGCTTGTCACTTACCTGAGAAGGGTCGCGCAAAACCATTGACGCGCTTGTACTTACAAACTGAGGACTTGTTGACACCTCTACAGAGCATTCATGCTTCCAGCTGTGCAGAGGTGAAACCACGTCAACTACGTTGGATTCTAGTAAGAGTTTATTTAATCAGAACAAAGCATCCCACCACCAGCCCCAATCCCTCCACCCCAGCAACTGCCCAATTTGTTAAGAGTACCGTATGTGTTGAGAGACAACAGCTTTAACGTCACATGATCAAGCAAACTGCTGCTAAAGGCATTCATTCCTGTTAGGAAACAAGGGATGATACCACAGCTTTAAAAAAAAAAAAAGAATAATTTAAAGACACTCGTATGAAATCATTTACTACACACTACAGGCCAATTTTACTTCTGTACTTGTTGATCTTTGGCTGTGTGAATCTGTGTGTTTATAGTCCCAGAATGTGACACCTACCTCCATAAGCATGACGAGGCCCATGAGGAAGGAGACCAGGACCACGCCTAACAGGAAGAGCTCCCGGCGGTACTTTCGACGGAACACGGCTGGGTACATGTCGACGATGGCCGTCACAAGGCTCTCCACGCACACAAACTGATGTAGGAGAGGGGAAAAGTCATTAATAGGAATGCGATCATCACTAAAGCAATCATGAAAAAGAAAAAACATCAAAGTGGCGGAGCGTGTTATCTG